TTCATCGGTAAGACACGACTTAATTGCTTCTACAGCAGCTTCAAATGCTGTTTAATTTCCAGACAGTATATTGCTTGTGAGATAGCATTGATTTTATAATGAAGCATTTTTTTAATCTCAAACCAACGGGTTGACTTTCCATAGTTGTAGAAATCAGAAAAATTCAAGCCACTAATACAACGTTTACAAATAGTTAAACTTCAGCGCCAACTGTCAATTGCAAATGAACTAATAAGTCTTCTTACTTCATACAAAGATATTTCTGAGAAAACGATAACAAAGCAAACTTGCTGTTTATGTCTGAGTGCAACCAATAAATTTATTGCGATGTCAGATTATATCTAAGCATTATTTTTTGCGCTTGTCTTAGCATTTGTTTTTCGAATGAGAAAAGTGAAACCGAAAGCAAAATAAATTTAGACCACCCTGCTACGCAAACATATTTGCTACGTATGAAAAAAAGTTGGCTGATATAATTTAATTATTTTTACAACTTTTTATTGTTGCTGACCACATTTGTTTAATTTTGCTCGCAAGTCTGCCTGTTTGTCTGCCAGTTTGTCTGCCTATTTGTCTGCCTTATTTTATTGGTTTATCTGATAGGCCTTCGACTGGGTCATTCAGCCGATTTGTTGGAGTGATAAACCAACATGACGCCACAACCACACTACTCGAATTATATAATGCATTTTCATATTGTTATGCGATCCTTTAACCTTTCAAAGTTAACGTGCACAAGTTGTAAACATGGAATACACGTGCTGATATTTACATATATGCATGAACTATCACAAAACGTATATGTTCGTACGCATGTATGTATATACTTAAGTATATTTGTTACGAGTATAAATATATGTATAACTTAACCAATTGATACTTTTTACGATTATTCTGTGCTGTTGATGGCGCCCATAAAACTATACTTTTAAAAACTACATCAATTCACATACACATTTAAGTATGTTTGTTCTTTTTTTGACGATCTTTTTTTCATATTTTTCGTAACTTGAAGCTGAAAACAGCGGAGTTTGACTGTACTAGTTTTTGATAGGGAAAGCGAATTGAAATTTGAAAGTAATTTTCTAATTTATTAAACGTGCTATGTTTATAGTGGCTGCATTTCTTTATTCCTTCTGAACGTTTGGTTCTTTGTTTACTTATTCTTTAGAACGTTCCTGGTGATATTTTAACGTATATTTCAAACGTATTCTGTTTATTCCGGCTGTGAAATGGGATTATCCGGAATGTATAAAGCAACGCAGCCAGTGTGTTAAGAAACTATAGCATAGCTTAAATAATAGTGCCTTCTGACTTCACTGCATTAATTAAACAGGTCGAGAGAATTAAAAAAAATTCTAGATCCAAAAACTAAACCATCTATTTCATACGCAATTTTTTTTCGCTGAATTCAGAAGTACTCCAGCAGCCAAGGTTCATGAGATATTCTAACCTAAAGGTGTAAAAATTGCCGTTTGGAAGAATTTCAAAAACTTATGTATATAAACGAGAATAAGTTACAACGTTTTAAAGGAAGATTTTCTGTATTTTCGGAGGTTGCGGGTTTTATCGGGAGTGTTGGGAAATGATTTTGGTCCCGCCCGCAAAATTTTTAAAGACCTACCCTAAACTGCCCATCCCGGCCAAGTGGGTCTCGCGGGTCCCTATATACATACCGCGCTCATATCTAGTTCGAACTACTGAACAGAACCGCTGCCCTGGTTTTTCCCCAAACATTTGTGTTGATGGTATGCTAGAAGAAACAGTTGCATGTGCTTATCTTGCCACTTGAACGAGATTGTACTCGTAGCAGCCACATTCGATTAAATATGCACGAAAAATAAATTTAGAACTATTTCATGTGACTCAATACAAAATAGTGAAAATGAATATATTAAATATATTAAATTTTTAGATTCCGTACAATGAACGACTTTATCATCAAAAGTTAGAAGGGAGTCAATAAGTTTTATCGTTCAATTTTAGTGCACACTTTAGCAATTTTAATTATTAAATTTTGATAATTTCTCCAAGATGAACACCCAAAGCGGATAAGTGTAAATGAGCCTTAAGTATCTCAATATATTGACGGCTGAGTGGAAGATCGACCTATTAAATAATAAAACAGCTTTATCGCTTTATTTTCTTCACATTCGGATATCTAATAAAAAATTTTCAAGGCACATTTTCAAAAAAGCTAGTGCCTGATCTTTCTTTTCGCTCTTATTACTTCACACGCAAAAATTTCATCATGGCTATGGACGTGCTTTAACATCTTATAAAAAAACATATCACCTCGCTTGTGCATTTTAAATTGTGTAAATATACCTTCATACATAGGTACATATTTACATAGTTAAATTTCGCTCTTCATTGACGTTACAATGTTCCTTAATGCAGCAGAGATGTCCTTAACAAAACAAAATAAAACACTACGGTGAACGCAATAAAGCGGTATTTTAAAAACACACAGCAGTTGAAAAAATATATAAAAAAGCAAAAATAAACCCAATATGCAGCTCGCGCGTGATATGCTGTGTCTCTATACGAGAACGAAGTGTCACTAACTACTACTAGGGTATTCGACTATTCGCCTTTTTCCAAAACCAGTTTTGGAGTTATTCGAAAAATTGCAATTTGAAAAAAGCGGTTGCCGATTTTGAAATTCAGAAAAAATCAGATAAACCGGTTTTATTTTAAATAGTTTTTAAACAGTGAAAATGCTTATCTTTTTATGAAGTAATGATCAAAAGAGCAAAGCAAAATAAGTACAAAGGTTTTTATATAAAAATTAAAACCAATAAAAATCAGTGGAAAATTCACATTTGGTCTATTTTTAAAACTTGATTGCATTTTTTCTGATTACTTCCGGTTTTGAGTAGTGCTCTCGCCGCCGTAGCCGATTGCTTAGAGATGCCTACTGCCACTCGGGAGATCCCTAGTTCAATTTCTGGTTCCAGCTACATCAACAGAAATTTTTCAAGCAGCTGTCGCCCCACGACAGAAAATGGCAAGCCTTCGAGTGTAGTTCTGCCATAACAAAAGCAGAACACGATTGCGAAGAGAAGCTCGGCCAATCACGTAGAAAGCGTTTAAGCGTCAATCATTCGTTAATTGGAATCAAATATGATATACTGTTCATCCCCAAATAACCAAGGTCCAAGGATATAATTTTGAAACTATTTAGGGGATTCCCTTGAACTGAAAAACTTCGATAAACCTAAAAGTTTATTCGGAGGTCAATATTTGGATGAAATTAAAAAACAAAAAAAAAACTGTTTGTTCGATCAAATGATTCGGTTTATTCGGTATTCGAAAAATCAAGATTAAAAAAAAAAACGTCTATAGATTTCCAAAAAAAACCGGTGCTTACCGGTTTGGACAAACCGAATCAATCACCCTACTAACTACCAATGTTAAAACTGACACAGAGAGAATCAGCCGTCACGGGACTTAATTGTATTCCACTTACAGTTAGCTCCTTGATTCTGGTTAACAAGCGAAGGGTTTAAAAATGTGCAGCAATAGAAAAGTTCTTCTGAGGGCGACAACAGAAATGAATAAAGATAAAAAAAAACTGAGTGTCAAGTGCTGATGATACAAAGTTTGTGGATGAATAGCACTCATAAAAAGCATTAAGTTTTTGGGGCGGCCGCTGTAGTATGAACATATATTTTGTCTTTGCGAACGCTTTTCCTCACATTCTAGAATTACTACCAAATTTAATTTCCTTTTGGAGCTTAATTTACGCTATGTAACCCAACTCTTTTAATTGAATCTGTGGCTAGAATTTTTTTTTATAAATTGTCCATTCTTTCAAGTGTAGACGGTAATACTTTTAAAAATATTTAAGTAAAATTCAAAAAATGACCCTTCAGATTTCATGAGTCGCATAGAAAAAGGGTTAATGGAACTTGTTACTTCACAAGCAAAATTCCGTCTGAATTAACTGCATTAAAGAAGCTGCTCCTTTCATTGCATGAATCCTCAGTGAATTTATCACCATCGCCATAAAAAGCTGCGTCAAAGAATTTCATCAATTTCTTGAATGGTATTAAAGGAAGTGAAGCAAGTTAAAGGACACTAATAAAGGTCAATTTGTAGTCTACTTAGATGTCAGGCGGCAAATAGAAAAGGTTAGCGAAAGCGGAGACAAATTGCGTAAGCTAATTAGTGACGGAAGGACTATAAAGTGAAAAGAGGAATCTACTTTAGAGAAACAATTAATTTTATTTGCAGGAAAAAAAATTCTATTTACTATATACATTTGCTTGTACAAGCCTAGATGTATATATGTACATACATAGATCTGTATAAACATTAGTATGCACATACAAAAATATATACAAATATTTGTGCGTTTTATTTGACAATAATTTTGTACAGAAAAGTGAAAAACTTTCATAAAAAGTGTTTGTTTGCAACTAATCTCAACTACACTTGTGGCCACGCAAACCTTACCACCGCTTAAAAGAGAAAAAAAAGTTGGTAAAATTTATTAAGTTAATAAACAATTTTAATATAGTTCAATCTGTAACAAACTATATACATATACATATTAAACAGAAATTATTTTTTTTTATTAGTTTACAAAATCCTACCTCATTTTTGTTTTTTAAGTGGTGGTAAGGTTTGCGCGGCCATAAGTGTAGGTATGCGGTCGAAAATCTTAAAGCCAAAAAACAAACACAAACAAATAACAAAAGACCTTTTTAGCTTGTAGAAATATTTTTGTAAGCCTCTTCTTTATTGTGATGGGGTTGAGCAAAATCCTTTTGGAATTCGACTACTACTTTGTACATCTCAGTTTACCCGCTGATTACTGAAAGTTGAATATACTTTTCTTACCTCTATAATAACCTATTTAAATTTCTTGCTTTTCAGGTTAAAATATAAATACATACGACTTAAGTTACGACCTCAAAGCAAAATCGTATGTAGTAGCGAGTTAACATCACACAATTTTTAACTAAGCCCGCCTGCGAAAAAAAACGGTATAATCATTGCTGCCGTTATTATCGCCATTAGCACCACTGATCCGGTCGCCTCCACCACCGCTGACGCTGCAATCCCATCTATAGCAATGCGTCGTTCCTCGTTTACGCCTGTCTTCAGTTTGAACACTCAGGAGCCGCTCATCGTAGTAGAAGAAACAAACACCGCCGATGATGGCGAAGTGGTGGAGGGTGCAGCTGGTGGTGTTGATACCGCAGGAGCCACACGAAAATCTACTAGCGACGATTCGGATCCCGACTCGCCTGTCAATCCGTATTTGTTATGCCCATTTCCGGATATGCAACAGCGACGCAAACATTCATTGCCATCGCTACAGATCACCGAAGGTATAACGGCCAGTCAAGTGCGACGACTGTCAGAGGTGGGTGGCGAAAATGGTGGACTTAGCCCTAAAGAAGTGGAATTTCTGGCAACATTGTCACAGAAAGCAAATCCCGCAGCGGGTGGCAGACGGCATTCGGTTGTCACAATTTCCGCCGTACCACCAACGTTATTTGGACGCAATCGACGAGAATCGCTAACAGGCTTGCCACTCAGGTGAGTACAATAAAGCAGCGTAGCGGAAGGAATTGCTAACGAGTATATGATGAGGATTGGGATTGACATTTGCAACGGTGGTATGACTGATTGTGGCTTTGATAGAATATTAAATGAGTTTTCATTTCCGTTTATGAGCAACAAAACTAAACCACATTTGACAAATGAAAGTCTACACTTACACAGTTCATTCAATATAAATACGTATGTATGTATGTATGTGTAAGTATGTATTTCTGTTAGTATACCCAGTAGAACTTGGGAGCATCGTACGATTGCTCGGTGAGTACTCCCTTGGGAGTATACGAATACTCCCCATTGCTCCCTATGCTTCTGTGTATAAGCATGTAATTTTGTATACTCCCTTTAACATTGGATGTCCTAGGAGGGGGAGTAGTCCCTTTTACCTCCTAAACGAGCAATCGGGGAGCACACACAGAATTATCATCCCACAAACCTTCTAATGGAGCAATACGGGAGTACTCCCATAGTTATCTCCCAGAAACCTCCCAAAAAGACAACAAGGGAGTGCACATAGAAAACATCCCATATACCTCCCGAACGAGCAATAAGAGAGTGCTCCCATTAGAGGCATCCCGAAAGCCTCCTATAGGAGTAATAAGGGAGAAATGATAACGAACATTTTAAATTAGCCAAATAGATTTTGCTATTTATTAAATTTTTTATTTAACTTTTTAATCACGTGCATTTGTGCTAATTTTACAAGACCTTAACAGATATAAGTACGAGATCAGATAAAACATAAATGATACGTCTTACATAATTGCTTAATTTTAGAATTATATTGCAGAGAAATCATATGAAAGTAAAACGTAATAATAACAAAACGGTAAGATAAGATATGCACATATAAGTATGTACTCGTATATGATTTCCTGGTTGTCAAGGATGCTTGCCTGGTCAGGAATCCACCAAGCGGGGAAATTGTGAAAGTGACTTTTCTTATCTGATATCTTTGTCAACCATGCGATGTTTAAACCCGGGGGTCACACTTAAATGCAAACACTAATTTGCGCAATCTGAAAGGTATTTAACGGTATATTTGTAAGTAATACAATGCTTAAAATATTTAAACAAAAGTTGAGGTACATACCAACGGACTTTTATTAAAATCTGTGTGCTATCCAAATAAGATTATTGTGTCCTCGTTATGCGCCTATAAGAAATATTTTCTGTTGGTTTTTTTTTTCTATGATAAATTTTTTCGAAAACACAAAATTTCTTTTGAACGATGTGCGTATTGCTCTCCTATCAATCAAAAAGAAGACTCTGGGATTTCTCGCTTAGGAGACATCACTTTTTAATCCTAAACGAGTAATAACGGAGTACAAAGCCGACAAATCTCGCTTATTGCTCCCAAATCATGCATCAGGGAGCATTCTTTAATTGCTCGCTTAGGATATCTCTCATTACGCCCCTAAGCGAGCAATACAGGAGGACAAAACCGACAAATCTCGTTTATTGCTCCCAAATCATGCCTCGGGGAGTATTATTTCGTCGCTCGCTTAGGAGATCTCCTATTTGATTCCTAAACGAGTAATAAAGGAGTACAAAACCGACAAATCTCCCTTATTGCTCAGAAATCAGGTTAAGGGGAGTACTCTTTTAATCCTCACATAGGGAGATCTCCCTTCAGGTTCTAGTGGGTAGGTAGTAAAGCTATGTAACAATATTAACGCAGCACTATAAAGCTTTAATATGTTCAAATAGTGTCAGCATATCTTCCATTGTCAGACTATTTCGAATGTGTTTTCAGCTCGAATTCAAGTTCTAACATGCAGGAAGGAACCAGTAGCCAACAGTTCTTCTACTTTCATACCCGAGCGGACTTGTGCACCAGGATGTTATAGCTTTGTCCACATAACGTCTCCCCTCCGTGAATTTTGTCCCATGAACCTGATTATACTAAAGCATATCGAGGGCCTATATTCGAAACCCTCTATATGCAGATCTTCCTATATCAGATCTGGGTTTTCAATAAAAAAATCTGACTCCATATTTCCTTCAAATCAATATAATATCTACAAATAGTAGAATTCAAAGCTAGATTACTGACAGTATCAGAACTAAATTTGACTATATCAGAAACTGATTTGTTTAATGTTTCAATGTTTTCCCTCTGAAGGATATGTTTATTTTTTATTTTTTTTATATATTTTTTTTTTAATGAGTAGCCTATGTTATTCTCAAAAAACTGGATTTGTGTGAACTCTTATAAATCTTGTGAAACATGCATATGAAAGTCAAGCGCCAATTACTACCGAAATGATTAAATGCCGAACAGAATAGTCGACAGAAAGAGCCTTATAAGTGACAAGTTAAAATAAATTTACTAGGCGGAGCCAATGTTCAATTAATATAGCCAAGCTCAGTCAGGTCTCTAAACTTAATGCTCTAAAATTTTCGGGTCTCCCTCTTTAGCGCCATAAAATATGGTGTTCCATATTGAAACTTACATCTATACATAAATTTCATTTATTTTTTAAATACAAATTTTTAATCACTTAAGTGCCTAAAATTTATGTACGGTCGCAGTCAGCTTCATTTCTCAATTTATTGCATAGACAAGGCAAGGCAGGCAAGAGACAATACCGTGGGCGGACATCCTAAAAGTTGTTCAAGATGTTTGCTATCACATTCGTCGATTTCGGCAAATAAATCTGCAAATGATAGAAAACGTTCTTAAAAAACAACTCCAAGAAAAAATGCTATTGTTTAATATGTAACAATGTGCAATTGAGTGTGTGTGTTTTATGAGAATCCATACTTACTTACACTTTCACCCACTTTCTCTCCCTCTCTCTCTCACTTACACCTTTGGCCAGCAGTGGCAGCCGGCGCGGCAGCATTATTCAAGGGCCACCACTTACCGACCATCGAGGCAGTATCCACAACTTGCAACTTGACATCATGGATGGCATAGTGCAGACGCGCAAACGTGCCGGCAGTGGTGTGTGGACGGCACCAGTACTGCAAGAGACCGAAAATAATGTGCCAGTGCAAACATAAATCATAACAACGTCCCCCTATCCAACCAATCGGCCCACGACCATCATACTCAAAACTAGCAACAGCATCGACATTAATGGCAGTAGCAATAATGATGAGAACAAGAACAAGAGGAAGAAGAAGAAGGAGAAGAAGAATGACTGTCAAATTAGCACCAATAAAATTAAGCAAAAAACTAGCAGCAAGAATAGCGCGGGCACTTTGGATGGGGCGACGGCTGAAACACCAACAGCAGCAACTACATCGACAACGACTACGGCAAATGGCAATGAGCGATCAACATCATGGCATAGCAATTTAGTTTCACGTTTTGGCGCGTTGCTTTGTTGGCAATCGCTGGACTGTTGAACAAACGAGTGGCTTGAGTGACTCCAACTGGGCAGAATTGAAATCGTATTGCGGTGAGAAAAGTAGCACCAAATATGTGTGTGTGTGTGTGTGATGGTTGGTCTTTGGTCAACTGACCACCACAAATAGCAACAGGAAATGTGCACAGTGCACAGCGAGCGTGAGCAATACGGAGTAGCTCAATTTGGTCGTCCAATGCGAAAACAATCATAAACTTTCCGCTTTCGCAAATTACACAGTTGGAAAAATTGCAATAAAGGTGAGTTACAAAGACATCGATTTACCAGCTTTACAAGCATGCGCGCAATGTCAATAATATTGACGTTATACTCGTATAACAATGCCGAAGGTCAGTCGAAGGGGGGGACGTTGGATAGAAGAATGAAAGTTCCAAGCTTCTGTATTCACTGGCTTTCTTAAAAGGAAGCATAACATGAAAGGCGGTAGATATTAACAACTTCAAAAGTACGTTGAAACTTCGCATGAGAGATTGTAAGCATTCACGGGCTGTTTAAGGATTTCAGCACAGAGAATAAAAAAGGTAACTTTTACGAGTATTGAAAACTTGGATACTTATTTATACTTAAACAACTTTTGTAGAATGTTGTATGATATCTTCTTGAATATAGGTAAGTTTGTGGCCATTGTGTCTGTGTGGTTAGTGGTGCGTACTAACACTCTGTAGGACCTGGGTTCGATCCTTGGTTCAGGTAATACCTAAAATTAGAAAACGTTTTTTTCTTAACAGCGGTCGCCCCTCGGCAGGCAATGACAAACCTCCTTGTGTACTTCTGTGCTATGAAAAAGGTTCTCATAAAATCAATTTGCCGTTCGGAGTCGGCGTAAAACTGTAGGTAACTCCTCCATTTGGGTAACAACATCAAGACGCACACCGCACTTAGCAAAAGTGTAAGCGCCAAAATATTTTAACTATTCAAGGCGAAATCATACAAAGGTGGTGTTGCTAGAACAGCTGCTTTAATTCGCCTTGGTAGACAGATGTCAAAACTTCTTATGAGTGGGTGCGAAAGTAAGAGTGTTGAAATTTTCTTTCCCTCTTCGAATAGCTCGAATTTTACATTTGTGTACCGAAAGCAAAAACAAAATACATGTAAATTTTTTTTTTTGTATTACCGCGACCACCTTAAATGAATTCGCCCTGATTATTATTATTTTTTCCAGAGATTAGTGATGGGGCCTCTCTCCTAATGTTATCTCCTGGCTTTTTGAAATTATATTTCGTCTGGGGCATGCAGTGGGGCAATTAGCGCCACTCCAGCCCTGACGCGTAACGCCATGCTTATCATAACGCCTTTTGATATCGCAAGAAGCAGCAAGGGCTTCAGTAGGGCCTACGGTACAGGTTAATTCCCGAAGGCTTCGAATTCATTTCTGTCTAGACTACTAGCCTGGAACCAATTAACTCTTTCCCTATGTACAACCCATTGAACTACATCCCGGTGAACTTTTGTACGAATGAGTTGAACTAAGACTTCCGTAGTATTTAACAAGCAGTGGTTGCAGAAGCGTTGGCTATAAGTTAGGCTAATATCTCCTCTGACAGCCCGGTGGCAATCAGAGCCTAATCAAGAATACAGAGATTGGAAGTTCCCTTGACTATCTGTGAACTTCCCATGGAAATAACAACTTAGCGTAAACTCAACGAACGCTGAACGAAAATCAGGTTATGTGCAAGCTAAACCTTTTTTCGTTATACGCCTATAGTGTACATGGCGTATGAGTAACAATCATTACGCATTTTTATTTGACCATTCGCCACTCTTTTATTTTTCCATCGATCTTCTTTGTTAGCAGCTTGATTTTTTTTATAAAAGAACAGGCTTTAATAAAAATAAAGAAATTTATACAAAACCTTTTATTTTTTGCTTGTTGCTTGCAGATAAGGTTTTCAATATGAAAAAGTATGGCTTCTTAAACCCATTCTTTGTAGCGTTCTTTCAATAACTGGTAAACTGAAAAAAATTTGATCATTTTTTCTCTTCTGCAAGTTCAACCAGTATCTCATGAACCAATCTTATGGAAGCCTAATGAAGCTTCGTTTATATTTCCTCATCCAAACGTAAATTATACAGTCAAGGCTTTAACAACAAAATGTATGCACTAAAACTTCTTTATCTCTGCACTTGAAATGCATTAAATTATAAAATGTAAGGGATAATGTGCTTATAACGCAAGGAATGCACACTTACACGACCCTACATTACCATGAACTTTGATATCAACGAACATACATAATTAAGTACATACATAACTTTTATTTTAATAATAAAGAGCAAAACTTAAACACAAATACGAGTATACGATGTGCATAGAAGAGAAAGAAGGGAAAAAATGATGAAAGCATGCACGCGCGTACATAAAAGTATATTTATTTATATACCAGTACAAACTTGCTGAAAAAAAGTAGAACTACAAAGTCTGTAAAAATGCTGGTAAATTGCTTGGTGGCAAAGCATAACAAAAAAGAAAAAATTTATGTACATACATACACACACACATATAGGAAGTGCAAGTGTGCGAGCATGCAAATAGGCGAAAGCGCAACAGTACGTCAACGCAACAACAAGGATTTCCCTAGCGCATTTCCACTTTCCGACATAAACGGAAGGAAATATGTACTCGTAGATGCAAACAACCACATATAACAGCACCAGACTTTCATTTCTAAGTATATATGTATGTATATACAGGGCCATGTGGGATGGTACACTCTACACACATATGCATGTACCCGACAGAGACAATTTTCGAACACAGGAAATGAGATTATTTTTTGAAAACTTGTATTTGACTGCAATCAAAAGAATTTTTTCGCCATTTCCTTTTTTGTTTCGAATTAACAAAGCCACTGCTGGAAACGCAGTTATGGCATTAATTAAATATCTCTTATTAGAAATTTACCAATTTCAAACAAATTGATTTTCTTACAGGGTATGCACTTGGCCATGCACATTCTCATACACACATATGTATGTATGTACTCATCAAGAATGCAATTCCACTTGCTACTTGTGCGCACTTCTTCTCTGGGGTGCTGATTGCATGTGTATGTGCTAAGTAAAAGCACTTTGTGGGTGTGCAACAAGTGAATGTTTTCGGTAGAGTAAACTAAATTAAATTTACATAGATTCGGAAGAATTTAAAGGGCACATGAGGACGCGCGCGTCTTTATTTGCAGAAGGTTTTTACACATCTAAATATTTAGGTACATTAAACCATACTAAACTAAACTATTTTTGCAAGGTAATTTAGAATTTTTTTTTTGCCAAAAGTAGGGGTCGCTATTTCCTTCATATTTTCTGCATTTACAGTCGGACCTTAAAGTATGATGCATCGATGTTTTTATCCCGAACTTTAGCACTTATTCTCCTATTCTTATTACCCTAACATACCACCCTAATGTGAGTAAATTAAAGCTTACGAGAAATCATTAACTTTTTGTTAAATAAGTATTAGACAGAGGGGCGTATGGCGAACTTTTTTTGTTTACTTTTAAGGTGGTACGGTCTAATGTATGTATGTATACATGCATATGGATGTGGCTGTATTCTCATACAACGTGCACGTGTATGTATGCGCTTATATAAGTGAGCACGACAAATGTGCTTAATGAGCGACATAATAATACTTTAATTGAAATGCAACGGGTAGAATATTTTTGCGAAATTTAGGTGTGTACTATATAAAAATGTACATTTGTAGTATGCGTTCATATGTATGAATATTCAAACGCCACATTGCTGCTTCTCTAAACGAAACATAAAATGTTATCAACTTTAAGACTCTTACTAAAATAGTTTGTCTTAAAGTCATTCGTATGGCGTATTTCATCAACAAATGTCAGCTGACAAATTTGTTTCCATTCAATACCCTTGGAAGATAGAGGAATGTAATCTTATGGGATTTGCTTTGAAATTAAAATAAAAATACCTTCAGTGCCATTTACAATTCAATGCGATTTCCGATAGTTTTTAATGTCTTAACATAACTGAATATTGAGCGTTTTATCGTGTGGTATTTACACTATTAATTTTGACTTCCGTCATGGTTAACGCTTGTATCTATACTTCTTTCTAAGTATTAACTATACTCTTTTTTGGAATCCAAAATTGGATACTGCTGTTTTTCCAAAATACTGCATTTAACCGTGTGACTTGCGCCCACATGAATAATGCATCCCTGCGCAACTTCGATCGTCTAACCATTCCTATGGTTATTACCAAAAAAAGCATCCCTGCTTCCATTTCAAGTTCGAGCTTGCAACGATGGCTATAAATTAGCGACGAACCTTTGTATTATATTTTTGAAAGGTTATAACCTTGTAAAAATACTTTGAGTAAAGGAAATCCAACAAAACCAAATGGAATAAATATTTGGAGGTTAGTGAAATGCGCAAACAAATTTTGTGAAAATCAGCACTGTAAAACACTTTTTTTAGAAACAAAAATGTAAGTGATTTTTACACAATTTGAATCGTCGAATCAAATAGCAATACCAAAATCGGCCACTGGAATTTTAATAAATTTTTTTAACAGGCTTTTATTAGCTTTTAGGCATGCAGGTTTGTAGCCCATTCAATTATAGTAGAATAATAAGTGCAAGTTAAACGAGCTGTGACTTACGGTTTTTGAAATTTTGTTTGTTGTAGTTGTTGCTCATTTTCTGCAAATAAAATAATCTTCGAACATCCTTCGTCTAGAAAAAAATGATTGACACTGTCAACAAAAAAAATTGTCATAAACTTTATAATAGATTGGCGCTTACACATATGTTAATGTTTGGCCGAGCTTCTCCTCCGATTTGTGGCGTGCGCCTTGATGTTGTCACACAAAGCGGAGGGACCTACAGTTTTACGCCGACTCCGAACGGCGATTGTGTTTTTACGAGAAGTTGTTTTTCATGGCTTAAATACACTCGTAGGTTTGCCATTGCCTGCAGAGGGACGACCGCTGTTAAGAAAAAACATTTTTTATATATTTTTTTGCGATGTTGCTTTGACCCAGGCGGAATGGAAGCGCGCACTGCTTATCACTATAACACAGCGGCCGACTTTATTGTACTAAAATTTAGTGACCTATAATACTGTATACAAAAAATCTAATTAAAAAGCTCGAAGTTTTTACGAAGGTTTGCTGATTCGTTTTAAGTATTGCACAAAGTTTGAAAACTTTATTTTTTCGATCTTTGTTAAGGAATATTAAATAACACAAAGATACATTGTTAAAACCTTATAATTATGGTACGGGGTGTATTTTTAATTTTAATAAAAGATTCAGGGACAATTTCAAAAATGTTTGATGTGTTCGCACATTTATTTATGATTTCTGATAATTATAAGGTTTTGGAATGCGGAAAAACTTTCAAATTCCAGACTTTCAATGACCAGACGCCATATTGGATCTACCGTTTTGAATAAAAGTGACCATGTGTTTTGCTTTTTTTAAGTAGTCACTACTTTTCCAAGTGAATTTTTTTGTAATTTTTCTATACAAATATGTTCCAATCTTTAATCAAAATCATATATCATATATCATATAATATGTACTATATACATTGGAAAAAAACCAGTTGCCTAACGTAGGGGTACCTTTATTAAATTTTGCGTCGTATTTTCAGCACTTATAGTCGGTTCCTAAAGTACGATATATCGATGTTCTTGCCTCGAGGAGACAATTTCCAAAGTTCATTGACCTCAAGTACACCGTTCTGATCTTAGTTCATATCACTCTTAAATTCCACCCTAAATTGAGTAAATTAAAGCTCTCTGAAAATCAGGAAACTTTTGTTTCAGTGTGCGGCATTAATTAGAACTATGCATTTAA